CCCCCGCCCGGGCCGCGAGCCCTCGCGTCCCCGCCGCGCACCGCCGTCCTCTCCCCCCTCCTCCCGTCCGCCCGCCCTCCCTCCTGGGACTCGGCCCGCTCCTCCCCTCGCGGCTGCTCACCGCGCTGAGGCGGATCCCGCTGGGTGACTGAGCCGCCATCTTCAGCGAGCTACAAAGCCAGGACCGGCCTCGGCCACGACCCGACTGGGAGGCGGCGGGCAGCAGTGGGGGCGCGGCGCTCCGCCCACTTCCGGGGTGTGTCGCGTGCGGGGTCCCGCCCACACACTTCCGCCCCCAGGCAAAGCCGAATAGGGAGTAGGAGCCCTGGGAGCTGGTAGGACCGGTTCTGCCGGTTGTGTGGGCGCGCCGTAGGGCGCATGCGTGGGCAGGCTGCGTCCCGGAAGGTAGCTTGACCCTCATCCTCTGGGGTCGGGTTTTAGACCTCCAGACGGTCAGGGTGCACTGGGAAGCCCGTGAGACTCAGCTCTACTTGACCACCAAAAAGCCGGAAGTAGGTCTGTGGCTCTAGTGGTAAAGCCCTAGCCTAGCCTTGAGCAAAATGCTCAGGGAGGTGCCTAGGCCTGATTTCAAGCCCCAGGGCGACACAAACTAAACACACACACACCCAAGACGTTGTCAAATTAGCGAATCAATGAATTTTTTCAAACTCTCAAAGAAATAAAGACCAAAAATAAGTCCAACTGAGAACAAGGGAAGGGGTGACATTGCCCAAGAAGAAATGTACTCTAGCTGGCCCGGTGGCTCACGCCTGTAATCCTACCTGCTCAGGAGGCTGAGATCTGAGGATCGCGGTTCAAAGCCAGCCCAGGCGAGGAAAGACCATGAGACTCTTATCTCCAATAAACCACCAGAAAACCAGAAAAGGCGCTGTGACTCAAGTGGTAGAGCGCTCGCCTTGAACTGAAGAGCTGAGGGACAGCGCCCAGGCCGAGTTCAAGCCCCACGACCGACCAAAAAAAAAAGAAATATACTCTTTACCTAACTCATGTAACTAACTCCTCGTACATCACCCTTATAATATTAAAAAGATTTTTCAAGTTTCCTAATGGGAATTGTTAGGTTTTTATTTTTTTTTGGGGGGGGGTCCGGTCCTGGGGCCTGAACTCGGCTTGGGCGCTGTCCCTCAGCTCTTCAGCTCAAGGCTAGCGCTCTACCACTTGAGCCACAGCACCACTTCTGGCTTTTTTTTCTTTTTGCTTATGTGGTGCTGAGGAATCGAACCCTGCATGCAAGGCAAGCGCTCTACCACTGAGCCATCTTCCCAGCCCCGGGAATTGTTAGGTTTTTAAAAAGAGGTAGCCGAGTAAGAACAGCACCACGCACATGGTATTCAGGTAAGGGGTAGGTTTATTCAGCGTTCTGGCTGGCATCAGGTCATCTTAGCCCTCCATGGGGTTGGGAAAGGCCTGGGAAAGAGTGCCTGGGCCAGGGCGAGGCCTTACTAGGGTATGGGCAGAGAAAGGTGTGGCCAAATCAAATTCAGATGTGACCCCAGTGGATGCAAATGTGACCTCTTCCGGTGTGCCAGTTGCCTAGGTAACGCAGGTACTGGGTGGAGACTGACTTCGCTGTGAGGAGGGTGGGGTCTGCTCACCATCCAGGAGCGGACCTTACAGAAATGATCATCCTTCATTCTAAAAACAATCATTCTCAGCCAGGCTTGGATGGGTCATCTCTGTAAGAAGAAGAGGACATGCTGGGCAAAAGCAGAGAATCCCATTTCAACAAATGAGCTTGGTGGAGGGAGGTTCACTGTCCATAATTACAGCAATTAAGGAGGTTTAAATAGGATAAGAAATCCAGGATTTCAGCCGGGCACTGGTGGCTCAGGAGGCTGAGATCTGAGGATCGAGGTTCAAAGCCAGCCCTGGCAGGAGAGACCGTGAGACTCCTATCTCCAATAAACCACCAGAAAACCGGAAGTGGCGTTGTAGTTCAAGTGGTAGAGCGCTCGCCTTGAGCTGAAGAGTTGAGGGACAGCGCCCAGGCCCAGAGTTCAAGCCCCATGACCAACAAAAAAAAAAGAAATCCAGGATTTCTTGAGCAAAAACTCTAGACTTCATCTGAAAAAAATTAACCAAAAGGGTTGAAGGCATGACTCAAGTAATAGAGCACCTTCCTAACAAATGCAAGGCTCAGAGTTCAAGTCCTACTATCATTTAAAAAAGAAAAGAAAAGGTCCATGAACGTTTATTTGGTGTCAACGTTGAGGTCAGGACTGGGAACGTGGCTTGGTGGTAGGGTGCTTGCCCAGCATGCATGAAGCCCTGGGTTCGATTCCTCAGTACCACATACACAGAAAAGGCCAGAAGTGGCCCTGTAGCTCAAGTGGTAGAGTGGTAGCCTTGAGCAAAAGAAGCTCAGGGACAGTGCCTAGGCCCTGAATCAAGCCCCAGGACTGGCCAAAAACAAACACACATTGAGGTCAATGTTGAGCTAAGAAAAACAACATAGAAGTTAATCTATCAAGGAGTTTTTTGTTTTGTTTTGTTTTGTTTTGCCAGCCTTAGGGCTTGAACTTAGGGTCTGGGCACTTTCCCTGAGCTTCTTTTGCTCACCTTCCCAGCCCTCTAGCAAGGATTTCTAAATATTACAGATGAAGACTAAAAAAAGTTTTTCAGTAGCAGGAAACAGTGGCTCATACCTGTAATCCTAGCTACTCAAGAGACTGAGATTTGAGGATGGTGGTTCAAAGACAACCTGGGCATGAAGAGTCTGCAAGACTCTTATCTCCAATAAACCACCTGAAAATGGGAAGTAGTACTGTGGCGCAAGTGGTACAATGCTAGCCTTGAGCTGAAGAGCGGAGGGACAGCGGCCAGGTCCAGAGTTTAAGCACCACTACTGACAAAAAAAAAAAGGGTGGGGGGGTTCAAACACACATTGCCATTTCATAAAATACATTATATTTATACATTTTCAAATAATACCAAAACATTAAAAACTACCTCCCATCCTGTTTACTGGAACAGAAAAACAATTTGAACTTTGCTCCAGATTTATAAGCTACTAAATATTGTAATACCTGGCTCAGATTTTCTAACTTGTCTTCCATAACTTAGATCAAAAAATTTGAAATTTGTAACTGTGAGAATGTTTTTTAATTAATGAATGAAGAAACAAAAATAATGTTGCTACCTTTGTCACTGATAAGTGGTAAAATAACATAAATCTAGTCACCCAAGAGTACTAGTTAATATTCTGGCAACATTTCTCAGGTTTCTTCTGGTTTTCAAACTGTATTGTCAAGTTCAAAACTCTTTTTTTTTTTTTTTTTTGCCAGTTGTGGGGCCTGAACTCTGGACCTGGGCGCTGTCCCTCAGCCCTTTAGCTCAAGGTTAGCACTCTACCACTTTAGCCACAGCACCAATTCAGCTTTTTTCTGCTTATGTGGTGCTGAGGATTGAACCTAGAGCCTCATGCATGCAAGGCAAGCACTCTACCACTGAGCCACCTTCCCAGCCCAAGTGTAAAGCTCTTAAGTGAGCCTCGGCTCAGGAAGCACAACATGCTTCTACTCTTGCAGAAGTTAAGTGTCACAACTGTTAAGCAACAGGTCACGGCCCGCTGGTGTATTATGAAATCATAGTGACTTATAATAGACTGTGTAAAAACACAACTAGAATCCGTTTTTTAAAAATTGAGATCAAGTCTTGCTCTGTAGTCCAGGCTTGTCTTGAACCCATGCCTGTGCCTCCCAAGTACTAGAATTGGAATGTAATGGCCCAGTGCAGGACTGCGCTTACGTCCACCTTCTCTTATGAATATGTGACATTCAGCAAATTGCTTTACTTTTTTTTTTTTTTTTTTGCCAGTCCTGGGCTTGAACTCTGGACCTGGGCATTGCCCCTGAGCTCTTCAGCTCAAGGTGAGCACTCTACCACTTGAGCCACTTTGGCTTTTTCTGCTTATGTGGTGCTGAGGAATTGAACCCAGGGCCTCATGCATGCAAGGCAAGCGCTCTACCACTGAGCTACTTTCCAAGCCCAAGTTGCTTTACTTCTGTCCCAGTGTCCTTGTCTATAAAATGAGGACAATATTAGTCCTTTCCTCATAGAGTTTCATGAGAATTGATTGAATGAATATTTGTACAAGTACTCTGAGCAGTTAGTGTTTCTGGCATGTAGTTACTGCTATATGAATGATAAATATAATAAAGAGATCAGAGAGAAAGTAAGGCTGGCCATTTCTCATGCATATACACATGTGTGCACAGGGTGGTTGAAGAAGTTGGGTACTGGTGGCTCAAGCCTGTAATCCTAGCTACTGAGGACACTGAGATCTGAGGATCTTGATTCAAAGCTAGTCTGGGCAGGAAAGCCTGTGAGACTCATCTCCAATTAAGAACAAATAAAAATGTCTGAAATGGAGCTGTGACTCAAGTGGTAGAAAACAAGTCATTAGCAAAGAGCTCACGGACAGCTCCCAAGCCTTGAGTTCAAGCCTAAGAACACTTCCTCTCTCTTCCACCCTCCCTCTTTGTCTCTGTCTCTCTCTCTCCCCTTCTCCCTCTCTCTCTGTCTCCTCCCCAAAACACACACACACACACACACACACACACACACACACACAAGGCTGAAGCTCATCGCTGGTGGCTCAATCTTAGCTATTCAAGAGGCTGATCTGAGGATCAAGGTTCAAAGCAAATCCATCAGAAAAGTCTGTGAGACTTATCTACAAATAGCTGGAAGTGAAGGAATGGCTCAAGTGGTGGAGCACCAGTCTTGAGCAAAAAATCTAAGTGATAGCTGGGAAGTGGCTCAGTGGTAGAGTGCTTTTGCCCCTCATGCATGAGGCCCTGGGTTCGATTCCTGGATGGGTGTGAGTGGCTTAGGCCTGTAAACCTGTCATCCTAGCTCAGCTGCAGATTAAGAGCTGAGGATAGTGATTCGTGATTCTTAGCCTCTCACATAGTTGGGATTATAGTCAGAAATCACCATTCTCATTTTATTGAGATAGTTTTCCTTTTTGTCTGAACTATCCCTCAAATTGAGATCCACCTCCCTGAGATTAAAGGTATGCATACTACGCTCAGCCACTTAAACCACACACACACACACACACACACACACACACTTCCCCCAAATGACAATATGATTTTTATTTTTTTGGTTGACTGTGGGGCCTGAAATCTGGGCCTGGGAAAAACTGTCCCTCAGCTCTTCAGCTCAAGGCTAGGGCTCTATGCTCTACCACTAGAGCCGCAGCTTCACATCCGGCTTTTTTCTTTCCCAGCCCCTCCACTTAACTCCAATTAACTAACAAAAAGCCAGAACTGTAGATATGGCTCAAGTGATAGAGAGAAAGCCTTGCATGAAAAAGCCAAACAAAAAGACAAGGGAGGTGCTGGGAAGGTGGCTCAGTGGTAGAGTGCTTGCCTTGCATGCATGAGGCCCTGGCTTTGATTCCTCAGCACCACATAAGCAGAAAAAGCCGGAATTGGGGCTGAGGCTCCAGTGGTAGAGCGCTAGCCTTGAGCTGAAGAGCTGAGGGACAGAGCCCAGGCCCAGAGTTCAAGACCCACACCGACAAAAAAAAAGACAAGGGAGATCAACAGGCCCTGAGTACACACACACACACACACACACACACTAATTCAGCTAAGCACTGGTGACTCATGCCTGTAATACTAGCTAGGCAGGAGGCTGAGATCTGAGGATAGTGATTCTTCATCAGCCTTGGCCAATATATATTCCCAACAATCTTATCTCCAATTAACCAGTAAAAAGCTAAGGGACCTCTCCCTGGCCCCGTGGTCAATTCCTGTACTATCACCATAAAAAGACAAGACAGGAAAGAAAGGTCAAGTGGCAGTGGAATAGGTCAGTTGGACTCGGCAATATTGGGTGGGCCTTGGAACAGCAGAAGAAAGCAGGCCAGGTGGAGTAAAAGGTGGGTGACTAAAGAAATACGTATGCATCCCAGAAAGGTTGAAGAGATGGAGGGGTCACAGAACAGTTCCCAGATTCCAACCTGCCTGATTCTGCTGGTTCTGCTGTGGGCATTCATTTGTATATCTGATGCTGATGAACTTCTCTTGGGTGTTCTACTTCTAGAACTGCTGGGTCATGTGGTAATTCTAGGCTCAATGAATGTTTGGGAGAAGTGCCATACTGTGTTTAGGTCTGTTTTTCTTCCTCACTCCAGTTACGAGATGGGCTTGGTTATTTTGGACCGCAGCTCCTGGTATAAGATGAGCAGGAGCCAAGCCAGCTGCAGCTTTGCTGGTTCCTCACCCAACCCTCACCTAGTTCCCTGGGAGCCCGCTTGTTAGGGCATTGCTCTGAGAACTAGAGTTTCTCCCAAAGTGCTCCAGGGAGCCCCGTGTAGGTACAGATAGGCGAGCCTCACTTCCAGTTACTAATTCAGACTTTCTGGAGAAGACACTCTCACCCCTCGGACCTGGGGCTTTAATTTAGGGCCTGGGCACTGTCCCTGAGCCCCTTTTTGCTCAAGGATAGTGTTTTACCACTTGCATCACAGTGCCATTTCTGACTTTTTCTGATTAATTGGAGATTAAGAGTCTCAAGACTTTCCTGAGCTAGCTGGCTTTGAAATGTGATCCTCCGATCCTCCTGATAGCTAGGATTACAGGCTTGAGCTACCCGCACTCAGAACCCCACTCTGAACTTGGCACCGTGTACATATACTAAGGTCTTTACTGTACCTGGGAGCTGGGGACCTGCACTGCAGGGCTCCTCCAGGAAGGTGTCAGGAGGTCTTATGGAGCAGGGTCGTTTCAGAACTTTCTTCCATTTCCACTTGTGGCTGAACAGCCGTAGCTGTCTGTGTTAGGTTATTTTTATTTTTTGGGTCTGGTCGTG